CAGCAGGAAGCAGGCTCCCAATTATCTCTGTAGATTTACCTTTAATCTTGATGCCTCCGCTCCCCTCCATACCAACAGCACTGCCCCACTTCTCGAAATAACTTATCATGCCACAGACAGCATCCCCGGGCAGAGCAGTGGAAGCGAAGCTGAAAATAAGCTCAAGATGAAAATAAGCAGCAAATCTGCAATTGCTTTTTTGGAAAGCAAGGGCCATCCGCTTCCATCCCAGCTTGCCATGGGTTGCAGCATGCTCCTGGGCACCTTTCGAAGGAACCAGGTCCCTTTGGAGGTGCCATCTGCTAACTCCAGAGCTGGCTCAGGGGCCGCAGCCTCGAGTCCCTGGCCTGGGTTACACAAGAGGCCAGACAAAGGAATATATAAAATACATAAAATGAGGAGGTTTGTTGTCATAGGGAAGTCACAGAGTGGCAATAAAGACATCAGGCTGGTGATGGGCTCCTAACTCACCTGCACGAATCCCCAAACGACCCCCTAGGGCAGAGCTGTGCCCCACTGCTGCTGTCACTCAGGAGAGCACATCAAGGTTTAGAAATGAAGGAAAAAATAAAGGATTTCTGGGGATCGGCCAAGGGGAAACCCCAGCTGCAATCGTAAGCGAGAGCCAGCCGCTGGCAGCGATGTTAGGACAACCCCTTCCGATAAGCCATGCTAATGCACCCAGTGCGCCAGGGATGTGTGTCAAAACACAAGGAGAAAGATCCAAAAGTCAAAGTAAGATACTGACCTCAAGAAGAAATGAAATTTAACCTGTCAGCAGAAGTGCAAGAGCCCACAAAAACAACAAAAAAAAAGTCTCTGGTGAAGCAGGAGTCGGGGAGCAACGACAGCGCTACTGGAATTTGCTGTAACAGAGAGATGGGGAGGAACCAACATCTAATGAGGTGTTAATAACCCGAACACGCAATGCTGTCATGGGATAGCCAGAACAGCCAGCCCAGCACTCGCTAGGGCTTTATTTAAGGAAACAACCCTAATAAAGAGATGTTCCCCTTCTGACTGGCACAGCACAGCCAGGCCAGGGCAAAGGGCTCTGAATTTCAATGGGAAAAAGTACTGTCCGATGGAGGCTGCGAGAGGCAAGCCTGTGCCTGGCTGGGAGCAGGGAAGTGCGTGAGAGGAAAAGTCTGCAGGGAAAGGTCTGCAGCAAAGCCTTGACTTGTGGGGAAGGAGGTCCCCAGCTCAGTCTCAGCTGCCCCAGTCCAGCAAGCTGCTTGGTTTCCAGCAAGATCGATGCCACTCAAAGCTCCAGTGGGAATGGTGTGAGGAAACCCAGGCACCTGCTCCCCTAAAAAAGCGCCTGACCTCAGTGCACTGGGCCAGGGGAGATCCCTGCGTCATGAGCAGGTCCCAGAGTAAGGCAACACCTCTGTGGCAGTGGGTGATGCTGCTGGCAGCAGCCCGCCCCCCCGGGGGAAACACCCAGCCCCTCCGGCAGCTCGCAAGAGAGCCCAGGGCCTGCCTGCCCAGGCAGAGCTCAAACTGGGAGGGGGACTGACCTCAGGGATGGCACAGGGCTGAGAGCAGATGGGAAGCACACCATTTATACCCTACAGATCTTAAATCAGACTGGCTGTCTGAATCAGACAGAAGTGGAAACAATCTTTGTTCCTCTCATTTACTGTCCATCCCATTAAAATATTAATTGAGCAGCATTTTGGCCTCAAATTTCATGGTAAAACCACCTTCCTTGAACAAATCCTCCATTAAAGGCGTGCTTTGACTCCCTGCCCAGACGCACCACAGGGTCCTCCTGTCACCTGCAGCCCACAAAACATTTGTCCAGAGTGAAAAGGCTTCCGCTGCCCGATGAGGCATCCCTCCAGCCATCTCAAAACAGATGCCTCCAAAGTACCCAGCATCGTTGGGTGGCCATTTTCCAGGGCAGGGATTCAGGGCGCAGGTGCTGAAGGGAGATGTTTCCCAAAGAACAACTTAACATCACGGAGCTGTTTGTCTCCCTCCCCTCCAAAATCTCCCCCAGTCTACATTTTACCTCCTGTGCTGACAACCGCTGGAAAATAAAGAGAAGTTAATAGGCAAGATCTACTGGATTTTAGCTAATCTCTTCCCTGCATAATTCCACCCAGCTTGTGGGAGCCACACTGCCAACCCATGCGTGAGGCTGGAGCATCACCTGAGCTACTCAGCACACTGCTGGTCTGGGTACGTTAGTGTGGGACTCCAGGGGTACCAACCTCACCCAGGGTGCAGTAATGTGATGCTGTGCAAAGCATCACCACAGCCAGGCACCATGAGTGCAACCTGGGGCTTAGGGGCAGCATGGCGTGT